TATATAATTTATTGAATACTAGTAATAAAAAAACAAAATATAGAAAAGATATAAAATAAAGATTGAAAATAAAATAAACTTTATATTTTGGTGTCATTTTAATTGTCTTGACAAAAACTTTCTAGTGTTATATTATATTATAATTTAACAAATTACATAAATAAATCAAAACAATAAAAATATATAAACAACTCATAAAGGGTAAAATGGTCATTTTACCCATCTTATTCTGTCAGTTTATCTTAACAAACGCTGAATAGCTGTCATGTATTGTTCTGTTCTCTTTTATTCGGCCAGCGAACCAAACACACCCTTAAGAGTCGTCGATATTTTACACTATTATATACAAGTTTACTTCACTAGCTTTAAATACGTTCCCTCATGGAATCACGGATTTTTAAATTTTTACGGTTAATAAAAGTGTTCATGATAATATAAACTACAGATTGAAAAATTATGGCCCTTACGAAAGATATATGGACAAAGAGACGGGATATAAACTTGCACCGGAATTATGTATCTGCGTTTTTAAACGTATATACGAAAAAACAAACAGTACAGATAAGACTATACAGTATGTTGTTTAAAATAATAATTAATAAAGAATAAAAAAAAGAGAATAATTAAAAAGATGAAGAATGTAAATATAGATAATAATACCCAGATGGAGGTGCATGGTGATTATTCCATGGCTTAACACACCATTAAAAGCTGTGTAAATACCTTTTCCAATATTTTGTTTTCAAGTGTTCATCTTCTTCTGTATACGATTACACTTTTGAGATATACCTCCACTTTTCACTTCTGCAATTCCTTTATATAAAATTATAATCACGTTTAATATTTATAATTATAAGATATGATAAATATATAATTAAAATTTGAAAAGAAAATCGTACCCAAAATATAACCGTTAAGCGTTTGTCTTGAAAAATCTGTATACTTGAATATCCGAGTCATTGGCATGTTCTTGTATTTATAATCGTTCGGCACTTAAATGCGGTGTTGGACCCCACAAAATTTCTTAGTAGGTGCATATTTAAGGTAGATTAAAGGTCTGTAAAGTTGTCCGATATGTTTTTAGCCGAATTCTGGCATTTTGAGAAAATTTAAGTTTTTTGGTCGATTTTGAGATATTTTTTCGAGTTTTTAGTTGATTTGAAGGTATTTTTTTTAGTTATTTGGTTGACGTTCCTTATGGTTTCTAATACTCTGTAGCACCCTTCAAAGTTTAACATGTATGCCTTTTATGCCTAAAAAAAGTCCTGCATACGAAAAGAAATGGAGGGTGCACGGGAGATCACTTAGGGACCATTTACCAAACGCTTACCCCTGTCAAATTACTTCACCGGATGAATATGTACGGACCAAGAATCTTATCCGGTAAGAGCGAGACAAGAACCAAGAATCTCATCCGGTAAGTGAAAGCGACGACTCTTACCACAGTAAGCGCTTACCGTGTAAATTGTTATATGCCATGTCGTTTTAGTGGACAAAAATCTTACCTGGTAAGTAAATAGTAGTGTTAAATTTTAACGTTAAGCACTTATTGGGTAAGTATTTGGTAAACGGCCCCTTAGACATATATATATATATATATATATATAGGTTTGAAACTTCTACTGTTATTAATTTACATGTATAAGATGCATGTCACCTTTATATATATATATATATATATATATATATATATCAGAGAAACTTAAACATTTCGATCAACAAACAATACAACAAAATTTGATTATCCAAAAATGTATAGAATAATCAAAGGGCCTTCGGCCTAGCGGTATCGTAGTCCTTGGCCTCATAGGAGATCAAGGGTTCAAACTTCACCAATGGTGAGGAGGGTGTGTGAGTTTATTTGTTGCATTTGACGTGTATAAATATTATATACTTAAAAAAATGTATATAATACTTTATAAGATTTAAGTTTATACAATTAAATAATAAACGTTTGATCTAAAAGTGTTACAACAAGTTTATAGGATTTCAATTTTGAACGTCGTAACAAGTTTCTCTTAGAATATTTTAAATATAAAATATTTTATAAGACATATTTTAAATAGTGTCATGTGAAAAATTAATAGACACCTTATTTTAAAAGTGTTCCAAGAAAAAGCTATCAACGTGTCTCAAAAAGTATATCCTATAAACTTGTTATAACACTTTTAAATATATTTTTATTATTATTTAATTTTATAAACTTAAATCTTATAAAATATAGTGATACAAATATATTGAGAATTTAATATCTGAAATGAATCAAGTATCCAAAAGGAGTTGTTTGGTGCAACTTGTATATATGTCCTTGAGTGGTGTGAATGGCTGGAAATGACTCATAGCTCAACAGGGATCCAGTTGCATCTTCCTGCCAATTTCAACTTACACCTAACTGCTATTTACTTACACATATTAATTAATTATATTCAATATATTTATTTAAAAAAATTGATCAAACTACTTATTTTAAATCAACTTCTTCATTTATTTTTATTTTTATTGGATTAAAACAGTCAAGATTTCGTAAATGTTAATATTACAACTTGTAAAATGTATTTTTTCTGAATTAAATATAATTTCAACGGGTTAGCTTATGAAGTGGGCTTACGACGGCTTGCAAAATGACCCATTATAATCATATTTTAGTCATCAAAACTACATTTTGTAAGTTGCGAAATGGGTAATTATGAAATATTGGTTTTTTTTACTTGGATATCCAAACCGTTATGCGAGCCGACTAATTTCAGAGTAATCACCTGCTTTGCAGGTAGCCCGGAATCACCGTATTTGAACCTCTGTGGCCATAAGGGGATTTTTGTTCCTCCTTGAATTTGAACATGTAACTTCCTGGCACTTTTGACCTTTAGAGCCAAACTTAAACCAATCAGACATCACCCTTGTGGTTAACCTTAAATGGGATTTTAGTATTCAAATGATAGGTTATATTTATTTGGTTATGTAAATTGTCATGCATTTACTTAGGACACATATATACATACTATTTATATGTTATTTCTATTTTTGTTGTTCTTGTAGTTTCTTACCATTTGATGAGTTGGTCTATAAAGTGTCTTTTTCTTCATGATATCTACACAATCATGAGCCTCTCATTTCACTCATTGCCTATCGTTCGGATATGGGTATCGCAAAAACCCGACCATAACGCAATGTACACAAGACCCGTTAAACGTATGCTTAATTAAACCATCCACATAGGGCTTGCAAAACCCTTTCAAAAGGAATTACAAATGGCCACCTCACCATAGTTTTGTCTGAAGGTTTGCAAAACCCTTTCAAAAGGAATTGCAAATGGCCACCTCACCATAGTTTCAAAAGGAATTGCAAATGGCCACCTCACCATAGTTTTGTCTGACACTTGCAAATTTTGCAATTGTTATTGCAATGCTGCAAATTTTGCAATTGTTATTGCAATGCCACGTAGACCCAAACAAACTTTTTAATACATAAAATTAATTACTCTTACTTAATATGTATATATTATTATTATTATTATTATTATTATTATTTTTAAATAAAATATAAATACAATCATAATAAATATGTTTAATTAATATAGTTAAATTAATTTAAACATTAAATTTTATCATCACCTAAAATTAAAATTATACATATTAAAACATATAATATTGATAAAGTTACATATAATCTAAGGTATATATAATCTAAGCTATAAAATTACATATAAAACATGTTATTAAATTAAAAAATAATTAGAATGTATATATAAATAATTTATAAAATAGTTAATAAATGTTGTAGTGGGGACCACTTTTGAAAGTGTAGGTGAATTGCAGGTGTGTAGGTGGTAATTGCAAAAGCTGATGTGTCACAATTGAAAGTGTAAATGGATTGCAGGGATGTGGATGATCTTACCTTAATTTCTACGTATGCACTACAAAAGTATACAAGGTAATTAAGTCTCGTTTCTATAATCAACGACATACCATGTATGTAAGGAGTGGGGGATGGCCATCGTTAAAAAAAAGTTACAAGGGTTAAAAATATTTTTTCTACTTCTTACTTTGGTCCCCTCGTATATTTCTGGAAGTGGCCCTACGTCACAACAACAAAAAAACAAAAAAAGTCTCTCGAAATCAACAAAAAAACCTAAAAAGTCTCTCAAAACCAATAAAAAAACTTTAAAACCTCATCGAAACGGTGGAATTGGGTTAAAAATACATCGAGTGATTTTGCAAGTCGTTAATTTACCTTAAAGGTGCCCCTCGGCAAAACATCTGATAGTCCAAGTTTCTTGCCATTGCATTTATTTTATGTTAGGTGGACCAATCTTTAACAAAAAAGAAAGAAAAATGATATATATATATATATATATATATATATTACGGTTTTAGTTTGACAAGATATTATCTGTATACGAAATGATTCATATAAGAATCACAAATAATTTAAGAATCAAAAAACTAATTTTATAGTCTTTATTCATTGATATATACACACAATCCAAATTTCATCAATTCATATATATCATCAATGAGTAATTGAGTATATTCTATCAATGAATATATATATTCATTTTATATTTGTATAGTGTCAATAATTATATTCATTAATGAATATACACTAAAAAAAAAACTCTCTCTCTCTCACTGTATATATATTTTCCATTCATATGTGATATAAAATAAAAAAGTTCCCGTGAAGGTGAAGAAGAGGAGTAGAAGTGCATTGCCTTACACTCAATCTATCTATCTATATATATCTCTATATCTATATATATATATATATATATATATATATATATATTATACATCCATCTGATTACATATTAGATGACAAAATCACAACTCCCAGAAACGTCCAAATCCATGGCCGGCCACCTTCACATGCCACCAAATTCCAACGCCACCACCACCAGCACCACCACCAGCCTCCTCCTCTCCTTTATATGACACACTTTGAAGAAAAAAATCAGACAGAAAGAGAATCACCCTTTCAAAACTTCTCTGCTCCTTCTGCAACTGTCCTTCTAAACCCTCATTGTAGCCTTTCTTCCCCCCTTATTATGCTACATCACTTTCTGCTTCTTTCCCTCTTTAGACTTCTAAGTAAACCCTTCATTTTTAACCCTTCAATCTTCATCAAATACTTGAAACCCTAATGATCAGTCTATTTTCCTTAGATTTTTACCCTATTTTCACCCAACAAATAATGTTTCTTATCCCGATATAGCCCAGAAGTTTGCAGGGGTACCACTTTCAGCTAGTCTCGTCGCAATCTCTCTCTCTCTATTAGTTTCTTATGATGCAGTTCACTGAAACACTTCCACCACCACTCCATCAGACCACTAAACCATGCCAGAACTTCGCTACTTCTGTGAACCCCAACCAAACCCATCGAACCAGACCCTGGCCGGGGTTTCCAGCGCCTAATAAGCCGCTGGGAACCTTTGGTGACGCTAACTGCATGGAGCAGTTGCTGGTTCGTTGTGCTAATGCTATTGAAACCAATGATGCAACTCTTTCTCAACAGATTTTGTGGGTTCTCAACAACATAGCACCTTCAGATGGTGATTCGAATCAAAGACTCACTTGTGGGTTTCTTCGTGCCTTGATTGCTCGAGCTGCTAAAACTGGAACTTGTAAGATGCTTACGGCTGCTCTTTCTAATTCAAACATCACCATCCAAACGCATAAGTTTTCGATTATTGAGCTCGCGAGTTTTGTCGACTTGACGCCATGGCATCGGTTTGGTTTCACGGCGGCCAACGCCGCCATACTTGAAGCGGTGGAGGGTTACTCCACCGTTCACATCATCGATTTGAGTTTGACACATTGCATGCAAATCCCTACTTTGATTGACGCCATGGCTGGGAAATTGGAAGGTCCCCCGGTGGTCAAACTGACGATAGCCGGAGCCACGGAGGACGTCCCTCCGATGCTGGATCTTTCTTACGAAGAACTAGGGATTAAGTTGGTGAACTTTGCTCGTTCACGAAACATAATCTTGGAGTTCACAGTGATTCCTTCAAGTTCGTTGGATGGATTCTCTTCGTTAATCGAACATCTAAAGCTTCAAACTCTAGTTCATGGAAACGAGACTAACGAAGCACTCGTAATAAACTGTCACATGATGCTCCATTACATCCCAGAAGAAACACCCACAACTCCATTTTCATTCGAAGATGCAACCCCAAGAGCTTTATTCTTGAAACAAATCCGAAGTTTAAATCCAACCCTAGTAGTTTTAGCCGATGAAGACGCCGATTTCACATCAACTAACTTGGTTTGCAGATTAAGGTCAGCTTTTAATTACTTATGGATTCCATACGACATAGTGGACACATTTTTACCAAAAGGAAGCAAGCAAAGGCAGTGGTATGAAGCAGATATCTGTTGGAAGATAGAGAATGTGATAGCCCAAGAAGGTTCGCATCGAGTGGAGCGGCTCGAGCCAAGAAGTCGATGGGTGCACCGAATGAGAAACACGGGGTTTCGTGGGGTTGGGTTCGGTGAAGATATGGTGGCTGAAGTGAAGGGGATGTTGGATGAACATGCAGCTGGATGGGGGCTGAAGAAGGAAGAAGATGATCTTGTTCTTACTTGGAAAGGACATAATGTGGTGTTTGCAACTGCTTGGGTACCAACCTAATTTAAAATGACTCATAATTAATCTTTTTCTTTAATTAATTTGTGATTTTGGTAACTAGATTTAATCTTACTACTTAGCTACATCCCTTTTTTTGGCTTTTTGATGTTAATTAAGTTGGTAGCTTGTCAATTCAAGAAGCTTGGTGACTGTGTTTTTAGGCTAATAATTAACATATTTTAATGATCATATATCAGATATTATTATGTCTTCTCCCTTTCATGTATATATATATATATATATATATATCTGTGTGTGTCTTCTCCCTTTCATGTATGTTTGTATATATATATATATATATACACACACTCACACGCTACTGTTGTTTGTTAGCAGCCATGTAATGAAAACCCCTCATCACCACCGACGGTGGTGTGGTGATGATGGTGATAGTGATGGTGGTGGCTTGGATGCCCATGAAGGTATATATATCTATCTATCTGTCTATCTAGAAGGAGGTTCAAACGAGAACACCTCCGTCTTACGAGAACGCGTAAACACCCTTATCACATGTGATAATACGCGTGAGAGGGACCCTGTGACGTGCGGACACTTGAAACAGACACCAATCACATGTGATATCGTATGGGAACGAAGTAGTATGTGGGCGACTTGGCACGTAATCTAGGTCACTCTTGTCCATTATATGTGTGTACGTGTCACTAGTTTATCACGTGCATGTGATGATATGTTTCTAGCATTTTCAAGTTTTCATAAAATGATAACGTTTCCGTTTTAACCTTTCATACATCATATACAGATACATATATATTGACACTCAAGAATGAGAATTTAGTTAGAATTCATGCATTTCATATACGTTAATTAAACAAATAGCATGACGTTGGGATTTAGCATGGTTTCACTTTCACTTTCACAAACCAAACGGAAGGTCAGATGCAACTTACGATTTTAGTACGGTGACGATCAATAACTTGTTGTTGAAACTTTCTACTTTGGGAGGTTTTTCAGATGGACAATGAAACAAACCCTAATTGGCAAATGTCAATACACACTTATCAAGCATCTTGACAAGTTGCATTTAAGCAATCTGATATTTCTAATTTAGGCAATCTGAGGCGCGGGTGACTTTCATGCAAATGATATGGAGAAAAGTTATGTATCATAAATGTTTTGAATTAATATCTGATTTCGTAATTCATAGGCGTAGCTGCTTCTTCTGTGTTTTTTTATGTTCATCTTCCGTTTTGTACGAAACGGAAAAAGCATGGACGTACAATTGAAACGTATTTCGAAGACAAATACCTGATGGAAATTAAAACTTAACTTTTCTTATTCATGCTATAAGTCTAGTTAGGGTATAAAGATGACTTAACAATGAATATATGATAGTTATGAACTTATGAAACAGCTTAATATCCTTATGGACCATCTATGCTAAATTTCTAATCCACTATAAAGCCCAATTCTAGATATGGCCCATTACAATAAGCCCAATACTAGATATGGCCCATTAATATTAAGCCCACTTCATTTGAATCACTTTTGAATTTTCATACACCATTCTTTTAAATAAAGCAAACGGAGATCTTAATGATATTTGTACTACAATAGATTTTTTTAATGGTTCTTTAAAATATAATAAATAAAAAAGAAAATAGAATTTTATAAATTTAAAGAATTTCTGTAACGTGAGAACAGATGAATGATGGTTTTAATTCTTTTTCATCAATGAGATTGTAAGTATTATTATCTTACTTGAGTTCGATGCTCATTTATGGACTCGAACTTATGATCGATTAATTCGTTTTATACGTTCGAAGTTGATAAATTTTTATATTTTTATTGTATGAGTTATAAACATCTGAGCATGTTTGGCTCGAAAAAAATCTTTGCTCGAATGGCTCGGCTCGGCTCGAAAAGTTTAATCGAGTTGTCGAACGAGCCGAGTCGAATATTGGTGTTATGAAGTTCGACTCGTTAAGTTAAACGAGTTTTGTTTTGTGTTCGAGATCCACTCGAGCTCAAGATAAACGAGCTCGAGCTCGAGTAGCTCGTTAAAAGCTCGACTCGTTTACACCCCTACTCTCAACTCACGATCATGATTCATGATTCACTACAGATATGAGCGCTAACCATTGCTTTTGTAGTCCTCTTCATGTTTTCTCCTTTAAGCGTAATCTCTTCAAATTCAAGTTTACAATCAATTACTATATCTTATCAAAGGGCTTTTGGCTTAGCAGTATCCGTTAACCCAACCTTTCTATGGGTCAAGAGTTTCAACCTCACAAAAATGGAAAGTGTGCGTGAGTTTCCTTTGCGATATGAAAATATTAGATACTTCAAAACAAACCTGTTACTCCATCCTTACAACTTCTAAAAGATTCAGGCAGTGGCAGATCTAGAAACTTTTATAGTTGGGGACGCACTTATGGGTGTTGAAAAAAAATCAAAACCAAATAATTCATCCGGATGAAAACGGTTTTGGGTTTTCCTTTTCGGCTTAAACGGTTCAGTTAACCGAATAAAAGTAACTTATTCATGTCGATTTTCAGTTGACTTTTTACTAATTAATCGAGGTGTATAATTTTTTAAACGAAAATATTAGTGTGTGCTGCAAATAGACCAATTAACAATTAGGATATCAAGTTGGGGGGTCATTGTCTTGTTCTTATTGGCTGTACAATAGGAAAATTTGTTAAACAAATCTTTTTATATCATTTTTTTAAAAAAAATTAGTGGGTTTGTTGGGGGCCTAGGACCCCTACCACCATGCACTAGATCCGCCCCTAGATTCAGATCTGAAGTCCTTCAAACCAACTGATAGACACATTTAAATAAGAGATAACGGTTGAATTCTACCAATAAAACATAATGCTCTATAGATTTTAGATTGATTTTCTTATTTTAATAAATAATTACATTAATTTTTGCATTATCAATTTATAATAAAATTTTACATCTTGTTGTATTACATAGATACATAACTACTACATATAAATATTATATGTGTAGGGTTTGTTCCAATAAAAAAGATTACATATTATAAGAAGGTGAGAAAGGAAGGTTCATATGTAAAACATTAAATAAATACAAAAAAATTTATTTGAAAATGCATATATGAATCGACATCTGAGATTATTTATATCAGTTTACATATACATCTCCAAACTAATACATAAACCTTCTCTTATTACACTTTCACGATATCTAGACTTCTTATTTAACAGAATTTTTTAACCACCCTTTAAGGGTGGACCAAATAGTCAACTTCTAATTTTAAAACTGTAAAAACGAAAAATGTTATTTTCTAAACAACGGGGACCAAACTTGTAGTTTACTCTAAATTTTACTAAACACCCTCTCTACCCCACCTTGTGGATTCTTCAAAAGTTCACCAATCAAGTGCCCACTTTTTGCAACCTCTATCTCCAACAATGTGAAAAGTCACTTGTATTTTTTGTTTGTCTGCCACGTCATCATATCCAAAATAATGCGTATTTGGTTCACAAAATTTTGATGGAATTCAACTAAATCATCCGTTAGTATACCAAGCTTTGAATATTCATCATGAATATGGAAGTGTTATTCATCATAAATTACATATTCATAATGAATATGTTACAACATTCATGATAAATATCATGTTTATATTTCTGATGAACATTCACACTGTATACAATGTCATAGTTTCTAATCAATTTTAGGTTCCTAATAAACCTGTTGATATGATGACATAATACAATATAATATTCATTTATGTACACAAAATGTACCTAGTTACAACATCATCCCTCACTCATCATCAAGAATTCCAAGCCTTGGATATAAAAAATTTACACAATTATACATTAAACTAAAACATAGAGGGTAAAAAATCGTACAAAAGTCAAGACTCTGAATCAGTATCCGATCTGAGTCAGAATCCGAGTGCGAGTCGACTTAGCGTCCGACTCCGAGTGTGAGTCGACTCAATGTCCGAGTCCAAGTTGACTCAAGTAGCCGAAAAATCAAGCATTGGTGCACATGGTTGCATTCAAGAAATTGAGTGTCTTCTGCCTTTACTCACCTTATTCCTGCTTCTTGTACTTGAAGGTGAAATCCCATGATCGGCCCATAGAAACGGAGTCAATTTCACAAACTTTTTTGACACCAAGCTCATGAACGATCTTCCACGTGACGGTGACTTATCGGGATACGATTTCTTGACTTCTTTCAATCTACATTTCACTTCCAAAAGCTCTAATTTTAGATCCTCATTTTCCTTCTGTAAGCTTGACATACCTTCCAGAAATGGGCTCGGTTTAGACGCATCATCCATCGTCTCTTGTAACCGTTGTTGTTCGTAGTAAAGAACTTGAACCACGGTTTCTGCCGGAAGCCGTTCGTTTTGTGCAGCATGAGCACACGCCTCAGCGGATAGCTTTTGATAGTTTAACAAACCGCAAAGTTTCTTCCTTTCCGTATCGCTTAAAACCGGATGAGCCTGCAAGATTCAATCACAAATGATTGATCATGACACTACAACAAAACCGGTTTTAGAAGACTAAGTATGTCTTTTAATTGTCCTAATAGATTGCTTTATAGAACTTAAATTAATTGCGCGTCATATATAAAAGTTTTATAATAAGTTGACAGATCGTTTTTTTGGGTTTTTTAACAAGTTTTTCTGAACACTTTTGAAATAAAATGTTCTATTACCTTTTAATTGGACATGTCCTTTTACAGGACACTTGTTTTTATAAGACACATTTCAAATAATGTCATACAAAAAAGACTAATATAAGCTTCGTTTAAAATTGTCCTAAAAACATGTTAAAGTGACTAAAAATGTCCTATTAACTTGCTATAACACTGTTTACCCAAGATGTACAATTATTTGGTCCTATAAACTTAAATAAAACTATTTATTATGGCATTTAAAGGCTGTTTTGTTGGTTTTCCACTAAATTCTATATGGATAAAGATACTTATTAATCGGGAAGGTTTTTGTTTGAGGGGTTTTTTTAGATGGAATGATCATGTTTTTATTTGGGAGGGGCATGTTTGGAAAACATTTGGCTTTCTGTATAAAGGTCTCTCCTAGAAGCTTACTGAATAAAACCACTTTCTGTATCATTAAGCCACTAGCAAACAGTCATGTATAGCTGACCGAATAAGCTGTGAATCACATTAAGCTTTTTAAGCTGCTAACAAACAAACCCTTAGACATATTTTGTATTCTATAAAGTCGATTTTATTGCAATGAGAAACGGTATTAGTGAAAAAGGTTTTACCTTCAAGTATATATCAACGGCTCTATACATTCCATCTTCTGTTACCCTTTCTTGATTTGGTATATGTTCGATGAGATTTGCAAATTTTGACACCGATAAGTTGCAATCAGAAGCGATTTCAACAAGATAGTTCTCCATGAGCTTCGAAACTTTCTCCATTTCATCGCGTGTGCCTTCAAATTCACCGTAATTCATCAAGATCCGTTGCACGGTGTCAATATCAAACAATGTGTCACCATCGAACCGAAAAGAAGGAATCAAGATATCGTCCAAGAGAGCCTGGCCAAGTTGTAACCCCATTCTTTTCTCCAAATCTAGCCGACATGCCACCGTGGTCTCGAGGTATATTGCAGATCGTAGAAGCAACGAAAGGAACCTGACCGACACTCCATTCTTTTCCCTTGGCAAGAGACTAACGATCGTTTCTAAAACAACCCTCGTCTCATTTTCTTGATTCGGCTCACTTTTGTTCTTGCTCTTTCCTAATATCTCCTGCTTGATGAAGAAAAATACAAACCGTAAATATGTGGAACCCCGTTAGATTACTCTCCCAAAAGAGTCCACTAAGAGAGAAAGGAAATTCCAACACATATATACAAGAGAAATGGTGTAAGTCTAGCTTATATGAAACTCCGATATCCCCTTCCAACCTAGGCTAGACAGACACAAATTGTCCAATAGTGTCCGAGTCTGTAAAGTGGTAGACTGTCTTATACCATGTGAAAATATGTGAAACCCTATCAGACTACTCTCCAAAAGAAAGCAGGGACATTCCAAAACACACACACATACATATATATATATATAGAGAGAGAGAGAGAGAGAGAGAGAGAAACACACTTGTGATCACGTGAGACCAAATGTTTTTGCGAGACCCATGAGACCACAAAATAACACAGGACCTTCTAGCAAAAACACTCTGAAGGTTTGCTTTTTGTGACTTTATAGTGTTTTTGCTATGATGGTTCAATATGTTTTTGTGCCTTTACAAATGATCTCATAAAAACAGATTGATCTCACGACAACCAACCTTATATATAGAAGAAAAATGGTTGAAATCTAGCCGATGTAGTGTGTCGATCTGTGTAAAGCAATGAGAAGAGATCTTACCAAATCCTGAAGACGTTTTTGGGCGTAATACGTTAGAATCGGACCAAGTGCATACTTTTCGAATCCTCTCGAAATCATAGCAAGAAGAACCCTTTGGAAGGTATGCATTTTAAGAAGAGTCAAGTCTTCAGCCCACAAATCAACTACTCCTTTTAGCGACGACGATGAAGAATCTAAACCGTTGCTGCTGAAATCTATGCTAGTCGATAAAGAAGATTGGCTCTCTGTCGTGATGATGAGCGCTATAGCGTCTACACAACGAGTGATCAGTTTCACATTTTCAGCCATCGGTAAGAGGCTTTCTGATGATTGTAAGATGGAAACCGCACCAGCCAATGTTCGAAATCCCACTTCATTTAGATAGGCCTCGGTTCTTGCTACGAGGTTACCGACTGCATAATCCTCTGTCATTTCAAGAAACTCGGCCACACATCTAACCATCGCAATGTTATCAAAGGTTAATTCGAAGTTTATGCCGTAAGAAAACTTTGCTGCAAGTTCGAATCCCTTTGGCCCTCCTGGGATATCATTGATTTCAACCAAGTGATCGGCCTCTCTTGAGTTTGACATCAATTTCCGAATATAACCACATTTTGACACCAATGGAAACTGCAGTAATCAAAGGAGCAAGTTTTAAACTTCATATACATGTTTCAAGTGAGAATATGTAGAACCCTTTAGATTACTTTTCAAAAGAGCTTTTGAGGAGAGAATGAAGGTTTCAGTAGAGGCTCTGATACCATGTAAGAATATGTGGAACCCTATTAGATTACTCTACAAAAGAGCCTCGAGGAAAGAAAGAAGTTCCAACATATATTGGGGAAAATGGTCCAAGTCTAGCCGATATGGTACTCTAACATACCCCTACAATAGAATGATAGATGCTAGATGGGCACAAATTGCCTCAGAGTGGAGACTTGGTCTAATACCATGTGAGAATATGTGGAATCCCGTTAAATTACTCTAACATTTCAAGTCACCATTTCAAACCAAGATTAGAACTTTAGAAACCTCATGAAGCACTAAAAGTTGCAAAATGACATGAATATAATGCAAATTATACCTTGTGTAACGAAAAAGATACTCCTTGGACGCTGATTGTAACGTCGCTCAAGATCTCCTGAGAAAATATCCTGCAAAAAAAGAATTCTTGAAAGATTTTTCTGGGAAATTCATCAAAAAAAACCCAAAAATGAAAAGGAGACCAGATGGAGGAGAAGAATGAAAGCAAACCACTCAGTGGTCCTCTTCATGGCATTATTCATGAGCTCCTTTTTGTTAGCAGGCATCATGTTATGGGCTGTGGCCATTGCAGCTCTCTCTTGTTGAGCATCCCCCATTACAATGATCAGGCATTCTTGATTCTAACCATGCTCCATACTCTTATAATATATATATATATATATATATATATATATTCCCTTTTTTACAAACCCACTAATTCGTGCAAACTTACAAACCAGTTTTCATGTCTTGTTTCATATATGAATCAGTATATGCAAACCTACAATGTTTATACAAAGTTGTTTTATATGTGAACAGTTCAACACTATTTTTTAGCATACAAAATAGTATTCATAAATATTGCATTTTGACACTAGTTTCATATGTAAAACTATATATATGTAAATGATTATATGTATATGTATACGCTTAACGTAATGGGTATCCACATCTTTATACACTCTCTTCTTTCGGTATAAACCCAAGCTTTGATTTTGTACCATGGAATTTACAGGTGTTCCTGACTCACAAACATCGACATCTTTAAGGAAATACCCAAAATGGGTATAAGCATTTGGCCTAAAAGGATCAAGACTTGGGGCTAAAACAGTCATTTCTCGTAGAAACCGTGGGGACTCATGAGAGAATCAAAGATAAAGAGAAAAGACGGTAGTTTGTCAGTGGGTGTGGTGGTGGGTGCAAATGTGCTTAGAATAATTGGCCAAAGATTGGAAGTTTCTTCTAGTGGCCAGTCAGACATCTCGTCGAACACATTGCCTACGTTTTCCGATTTAGGGATCAACACCCTCTAAACAATCCAAATACTAACAACCATTGAACTCACAACTATTAATTCAAGAAAGCATACTTGACGGTTAACTCAACCTGTAAATAAAAGTTAGATCTCAGCCTTCATTTTTGAGTCTCTTCATAGCCATTAAGGAACGAACGTAATTTATCAAATAAATTAGAATCTTTCCGTTTGATTTACCAAAGGGGTGTTTGGGATTGCTTATAAAAACAACTTATTGACTTATTCCGGTGTGACACCGGTAATAAACATTTTTGAGTGTTTGGATAAACAATTTATACTGGTGTCAAACCAGTAATAAAAAGTTTTTGAATAAATTAAACTGACTTATAATAAGTTAATAAGTAATCTCAAACACCCAAAATGTAACATATAAAATTAAAAAGAAATAATAAAAAATAACATTTCTTTTAATTTGTTAAATAAAATTAGAACTCAATATATGAAAGTAAAACGATATCGTGTGGTCATGTGACATTAAATGGTGAATGCATGCATGATAGACATGGGCTCCTTCGCAGGTACGTGTAGTTCACATCATACATAACAATGGATCCCTTCCTAATGTTGACGGATCATACCATATTAATTATCTATAAATATATATTAAAAAAATAGGGTAAAATGTGTTAAATAACAACCTACTTTTTTTTGTTTTTTTTTTTTTTGTCACCTCATCATCCATATATGATGTCCACATACGATAGTGTTGACATGACATTTCTAATTATAACATTATACTTTCAAAATTACTTTACTATAACATCATCAATTTATATTATAACATTGTACTCTTAATTTTAATATTTTTATTATTTAAACGTTGTAAATTTAATCAAGTATATTTACTAAAAAATTATAATAAATATTATTTGAGATCAGGGGCGGATTTAGCATGTTAAAGGTGGGGGGAAGAGCCCTCATTAAAAAATTAAAAAATGAATTTTTTTAAGGTTAAAAATTATTTTTTTTACTTTATACCATGGTTCTCCTCCGTAATTTCTTGTTAAGGCCCCCACCAACTAAAGAAAGTATCTTGAAATCAACCAAAAAACTGAAAAGTTCTTCGAAATCGATAAAAAAAACCCTTAAAAAATCCTTCGAAATAATCCAAAAAAACTTCAAAAATCTCTTGGAATGGTGAATTAGGCTTAAAACACATCGGACGACTTGATGGCGTTTAAGCTACCTTGAAGGTGCCCCCACTAGACCAAAATCCTGGATCCGCCACTGTTTGAGATTATAATATCGTTTTTTTATTTTATTTTTTGATATATTATAGAAGACAAAAGACACCCAAATCGATAATTTTTTTTAGCATTAACATATTTGCAATAACATATCAAACAGTACATGAAATTTAATCTTTTTTACTATTATCTAAGTTTTTTTATTAAATTAAATGTTATATTTTTTAAATAAAAAAACACTTTCTTAAAAATTTACAAATAAATCAAAATACTTAACACATACAAGAATCACCAATACAATTTAATATTATAATTTTTAGTAAATATATATTTGATTAAATTTATAATATTTAATTGATAAAAATATTAAAATTAAAAATACAATGTTATAGTAGAAATAAGTGATGTTATAATAAATTAATTTAGAAAGTACAATGTTATAATAAGAAATGACATGTCAGCAATATCGTACATGTGAACAGCCTACATGGACGATGAAGTGACAAAGAAATCTGATATAATAGATAAATTTAATTTAAAAGGTTGTTCAATGCTATAACAGGTAAATTTTTTAAAGTACGATGTCCTAATAAAAAATATTTTGAAAGTACATTGATGTAATAAGAAAAACTGAAAATATAATGTTATAATAAAAATTTATAAAAGTAGTTTGTTATTTCATACATTTCACCCAAAAAATAATATGTAAAAATACATATATAGATCTAGGGGTGAGCATAGGCGGGTACCCGCCCTTTTTGACAGGAACCGGAACCGG